CAAATGGTACGATAATTTTTTGTACAGAGAGGTCCTTCGAAATCCAGACAGATTTCCGAATTTACAAATATTAGAAGGCAAACCTATTTGAAGTTGCCGAAATTATGCGTACCAGGGAATAAAAGAAAAGAACTTTTAGAGGGGAATCACGAATACTACTGGCCTAAAATGCTTAAACATATTGCAGACTATGTTAGAGTCTGTAGAAAGTGGCTTCAGTATAAACCGTCACAGATACAACTAGCAGGAAAAATGCAGCCATCCATTGTAAAAAAGCCTTGACTTACTGACTTAATCGATTTAATGTGACTATCCCCAAGATCTACAAAATGGAACATTTTCTTGATAGTCATCCAAGACCGGTTTACGAAATTGGTTATTGCCAAACCGATAAAGAAAGCATCCGCAAGCGCTATCATCAGCACTCTGCGGTTAACAGTATTTATGGATCTTGATCTTAGGAATCCCAAAGAAAGTCATCGCAGATAACGGTTCTTATTTCAGAAGTAGCAATTTTAAAACATTCCTATAAAAACATACAATATCAATTACGTCCTTACACCATCTTACTCGCCATTATACAATCCAGTAGAAAGAACTAACAAGGTACTGAAAACAATGGACGCTACATACGTGGAGAGTAGCCATAAAACATGCTTTTGACTACCAGAAGAAGCATTTCTATCTAAGGTGATGGGACTGATATCCACACCCAGGATATCAGGTCGTAAAAAAAACACCATTTATCCTCGTCAAGTGAAGCTTTTACCAGCAAGCTGGCGCCAAAATATTCAGGTCCATACACAGTAGCATTAGTTATATCACCGGTAATGGTACAACTAAAATTGTCGAATAGTAGCAACCGCAAGCAGGTGACAGCGTATATCAAAGATTTAAAACCGTGGGAGGGGGAAGGCACCTCCAAAGAAATGCTATCCCCATCTAAGACAGACAGTACTTAAGCAGCGAATTCTGAACACAAAACTCAGTTCGACCAGCCATCAGCCATGAAAGACATACTAGACATTTCCGAAGAGATGAGCGCGCTAGGATTAGAGAGACCTGGACTGCCTGTCACGCCAGAGAAGAAAGCGGAACGCATCCTCAACAAGTTTCACCAGTTATTTGGTAGGCCACCACTATCATGCAGGAAGCGCCGCGTTGACGACACACCGACGGGACCTAAAGTCGCAGCAATGACGACTCGAGGGAGCCACAACTAGGAATCAATTCCGACTTGACAGAAATCATCCCGAAAGATTTTGTGGAAAAGGGGACCAAAAAATTCTCAGTGACCTACAACAACGGTAGGAAAATAAAAATCAAGTTGCCACGAAGAGTGAATGGGATCACGCTTTTCTTCCATTGATGTGCGCTAGAGGAGACGGAAAGCTTTCGACCGTATAAAAGAGCAGTCCCGCAAGAGAAAGACAAGTTACATCGGAGTATTGACCTGACAATAACTCTATTGGCTAATCAAATTTTTGGCTAACCGAGATATTCTTAGCGCCTTATCCCCACCTAAGGGGTACCCGAAACAGGTCCGTTTCTTTTGGATTTTTAACCATTATGGTGTCCTGGGATATAATTACGGATCTTTAATAGTATTCATCCCGTGGCTTTTCGTATTTCAATGCCGTTGATTAATTCAGCTCTTCCGTCTTCAGAGACAGTTTCGCAACTCTAGGGTAATGAAGTGCCCTACCACGTCTCTGTTCTTTCAGTTGTAGCTTTGACCAAAAACTGGGGGAGTACTTATACCGGTAATCGCTCAGTAAATGATTTTTTATTATGCGCAGAGCCATGCTGGTACTTCTACCAAATTCGCCGTTTCGAATGTTCTTCTAATTTGCCTTCATCGCCGTTGTGGTCTTTATCTGTAACCATAGACAAGGATCATCATATCTCTAAAAAAGATACATGTGAGTAGACCTACTCAGTTCACCCCACAATCAACACAGGCAGAGTTAAATATCTGGGAGTGCTATTTAACTCTATAAGAATTGTCGGCCTTCTTAACGATTTATGTAGGAAATTCAGACCGACGCAAGCTAAGACACATTTATACAGATACATTCACATACATACACACAAAGTAGGTACATATGGCCTCAAGATCTCACATAAAGCTGCTATCTTTGAAATAGATTACTCTGTGTGAACTAAATTACGAACAAAAAGAGTTCCTTTTCGACCAAATACATCAAATATGAAACACCCCAAATATACTTAAAAGGCTTTCCTCTCTGACCGGAGAGTTACAATTTACAAATAGTCCGAAGTCAAAGTATCCAAGCTCAAACCATCTTTAAAACCTCATAACCATCTCTCGGTTATGTATTCGTCAGATGTAAAAATTAACTTACCTTTTTTCCTACCAAACTGCTGACCTCTGCAAACAACGAAATTCCTAACGAATAAATAGATACCTTGGAGTTAAATCCTTCTTTTTGACGTTTTAGATAAATAGCTCACTTCGAACCTTTGTACATGGACAGGAAGGGTTCGGTTTTATGTTGTTTCACCTTATTAAACAGTTATACCTGTCCATAGAAAGGTAACAGCCACAATTGCCTTAACGCGTTAACAAAACTTAGAATTAGTAAATTAAAAAAAACATTTGAAGAGAACCATTACTTTCTTTAAGTTATAGTTATATACTAAACATCCAACACCATTCAATCCATCCAAGAGGACTAAAGACATTATATTGATCGTGTATTTTCACCTCAACAAACTGTGTCTTTATTAGAAATATTAAGTTAGTAATATATACGTTAACTTTTACTTATTTATTAAATTACTATAATAATACTGACGCAGTTTGAACATTGTGGGGGATTATGGCCTGAGAAAGAGAAACGAACGTGGAGATCGACTTGTCCAGTTCTGTCAAGAACACGATTTCATTATATCGAATACCCACTTTAAACTACCACCGAGAAGACTACACATCTGGAAGTCAAATGCAGAATAAGAGGACAAAATTATTAGGAACCAAATCGACTTCATTCTAATAAAAAATCGATTTAGAAACTGCATCAAATCAGTTAAAACTTATCCAGGTGCTGACATTGGGTCCGATCACAATTCCATAATAGCTGTAACCCAATTAAAATTAAAAAAGGTGATCAAAAAGAAGTCTCGCAAAAATATTGATACAGCCCAATTACAAGACGAGAAAGTTAAGGAATTCAGTTCAAAGACAACTAAACGAAAATTTAATTTGGGAAAATATTGGTGAAAACGTCGATGAGGGCTTAAATAAAATCGTAACAACAGTAAAAAAATCTGTGTGAGAAATTTACAAGGCAGGTCAAAGCTAAAAAAGCAGGCTTGGATAACAGATGACATACTGGATTTGATGGAACAACGGCGACTAGCGTAAAAACAACGAAACACTTTACAATAACATACAAAAAGAAATTCGACGTAAAATACGAGAAGCAAAGAGTCAACATCTAGCCAAACAGTGTCATGACATTGAAGAACTTGAAAAATGATATGACACGTTTAACATGTATAAAAAAGTGAAAGAAGCGGCTGGTATCTTCAATAAGAAACAAACTGCATTGCTACAGGATGAAAATGGTAAAGTAATATTTGAAGTAGAGGGCAAACTTAAAGAATGAGAAAATTACGTCACGAACCTATTCGAAGACGATAGGAGTAGTTCACCTCCTGATATTACTAACTGCAACGGACCCCTAATAACACGCTTTGATGTTATAAATGCCATACAATCCTCAAAAGATGGCAGAGCGACTGGTCCTGATGAAATTCCAACTGAAATATATAAGGTTATAAATAATAGCAATGTTCTAGAGGCTATAACCTCGTTTTTCAATACCATTTATACCAGCGGACAACTACCTAATGGTTGGTCTAATTCACTGTTTATAGCTCTATCTAAGAAGTTAACAGCAAAAACCTGTGCTGATTATAGAACCATCAGTTTGTTAAACCACTTATTGAAATTTTTTCTAAAGATAATACAAGGTCGTATCTACAATAAATGCGAGGAATACCTGGATGACACTCAGTTTGTTTTTCGTAACGGGTTTGGAACGAGAAAGGCACTGTTTGGAATGAACGTGCAAATTTATATTGGAATCAAACAACATTAGTTCTAGTAGATGGTGTGGAATCACAGGCTCGCTTATGTAACAGAGACCTAAAATTGGCATTAAGGGTCCGTCTACTTTGCTGCTAGGTGTTCTCGGTCTTACTTTATGGTATCGAGTCCTGGACTGTGAACAAAATCGATTTTAATCGCCTTGAGGCTTACGAAATGTGGTGCTATAGAAGAATTTTAAAAGTTTCCTGGGTGGAGAAGATTTGAAACTCCACAATACTAGAGCGTCTCAGCAAGACTACTGAGATCGTAAAAAGCATCAAGCAGAGAAAGCTAGAGTATTTCGGGCATGTAATGAGAGGTCCCAAATATAGGTTGCTACAAAATATCATGCAAGGAAAAATAGCAGGAAAACGCAGTCCAGGACGAAAAAGAACCTCATGGTTGAAGAACCTCATGGTTAAAGAACTTGCGAGATTGGTATGGTGTTGATACAAGCATGCTATTTAGGGTGACAGTAAATAAAATTAAGATAGCTATGATGGTAACCAACGTTCTAAAAGGACATGGTACATGAAGAAGAATCATAATAATACTCAATATAGAATAAATGGACGTTGCTGAATGTCGTCCCTACTGTACTTTCCAATATACGATGTTTATAAAATGTGTATGTAGTGTAAAAAAGAAATTGTGCAGAGAAGTATTTAGTTGCATTCCTTAGAGGTATTTTATATCGATTTAATCTAGGCATATGATGAAGTGCTTAAAAATGATTTAAATAAAAAGCATTTGTAGAATACAAGTTAAACAGAGAACACATTTTTACTACGTGATCGTAGGAAGAAAAAACAGTATACTGATATATTATTAAAATACAAATAATTGTTTTTGGTTTATTTAAAATTATTTTATACTTACGTACATAGAAAGATGTTATTCTCAATAATATTACTATAGTATTATCTATCTCTTTAAAATAACT